GAGGAAGTATCTGTGGAACCTTTTCATTCCCACAAAAATGTGAAAAGAAAAGTGGCGCCTTCACTCTGAGGCCGCAGCATCGTGTCTGAAAGTGCAGCGATGTTTTCAGGTTGGAGCGGGACAGAAAAGAAAGACGGTGCTGCAGAGTTTATGTGGAAGTAACAGAGAAATATGTGACGAATCCTCGGCACAGCAGTGACACAGTCGTGTGTTTTTGGACAACGGGAGAGGAGAGGAGCTCAGTCCTGCTGAGGAAACTCTGCAGACTGACGCAACACTGCCACCTGCTGCTCACATGTAGACACGTAGACGCTCGTTTCAAATACTGCAAAAAATCAAAGTCACTAACAGATTTTTATTGTTACAAACCTAAAGAAAAATACTCGAGTAGTTTGTCTTTGCATCTGTCTTCACACACTAAGCTGCAATGACTCTTTACCCCTCAGTGTGTCAGCAGAGCTCAGCTATAATTTCCATTATATTTGTTTTAATGAGCTCTGCTAGTGATCTGCTATATCATACGTCCATCTCTTTATCTGCCTGTCGGCTAGCCTGTCATTCAGTGTTAGCATACAACACAACATCATTCAGATTATGGAGGCTGTAGCTGTAGTATAACACCTGCTATCATAAAGGATTATCGCTCTTCTGCTGTGGTTCATCTTTCTTCTTTGATCCTCCAGTTTCCTCTGATTTTTTAAGGACACACCTACTAAGACTTATTACGTTTTTTTGCCAGTAACTCTTAAGAATCATCTTGTCGGGGCTGTTTCATGGATGACAAACTGTGTTATTGTTGAAACAACATGCTGCTAATAACAAAGGAGCTAAAGATTGTCTACGATCAGTTTATGCTGTGAGCACGTTTTTACCTAAAGTGATTAATAAATGAGAGAAACAACCGAGCAAACACAAATCCTCTAAAACTGCTCAGAGACAAAGCCTAGAAAATGAGTAAAAAAACAGTCGATGTCCAAAGAAAATCATGAACTTTATTCCTGCTACAGTGTAACATTTACAAGAGTTTTTCCTGATTTCAGACTTGAAGTGCACTTCCAGGAGATTATAGTTCAATTTCTCCCTTAAAAACTGCTCCTGCATCATCCTCTCATTCACTGTGTGCGTCTGTGTGGGTGAGACAGCAGCACAGCTGTGCGACACAGTGTGCGAGAGGCTAACAAGAGCCAACTGTCGCTGTGGCCACAGGATGCAAAATCACATTAGTATGTGTTGTATGTGCATGTGACCACGAAAGCCACCCCAGTAGGTTTCTAATTGGCCACTGGAGATAAGAGGCTGGGTCACATACTGTAGCTTTGAGATGCCTCACTACCCCGAACCCTCGCTCTAACCCTCTTGATGTCCATCCTCGCCTGTCCCCTGTTCTCAGCTCCAGCTCTTCTGCAGTCCCTCTATTCATGTCCTATCTAAAAAGCCCTAATGAGCTCCCAGAAGGCATGGCTGCCACCCCCTCTTCTGCTGCTGGTGCACTAATGGGGTACAGTGAGCTTTTGGTAGGTGGCAGTATTGCCTCATATTCATGATGAGCTTTGGAGTTCTGAGAAAGCACACAACAGCGTGACAACCAAGTCGCAACAGCTTCTGCAGCTTTTTTCCTCAAAACCTGGACTCTGAAATGTTCTCTTGTTATCTTCATTCTGATTCTGTAGACTAAAGAGTTAGCAGGACACCTGCTTTCAGTCAGCAGTACCGGTGCTCTGGGAATCCATCCTACCTTTGTGAATGTCACCTACAAGCATACCTAAACTGCTAAAATTTTGTGGCAAATCATCCTACTTTTGTTAATCTGAGCTAGAAGCGTACTTTAACAGCTAAAATCCAGTGGCAAATCATCCTACCTTTGTTAATAACAGCTACACACATACTCTGACGGGTAAAATGAAGTGCCAAACCATGCTACCTTTGTGAATGTTACCTACAAACATACTTTAACGGGTAAAATGAAGTGCCAAACCATCCTGGCTGTATGCATATGAGCTACAAGCATACTCTGATGGGCAAAGTTAAGTAGCAAACCGTCATACCTACTTAAATTGGTGCTGGAATTACTCTGTGACAGCAGAAATGTGCATAAACTACTTACGGTAGGACGGTTTGTCAGAACACCGGCATTGATATTGATATTATCGATATTTGGATCAATCTGCCCGCCCTGTCAGTCAGAATTAGGTAGCCTAAAGTGTTAGCATAGAGGCTATCTTTAACCGCACACCAAACAACTAAAGATACTAATGACAGTAAAATGTATGCATAGCAGCAGTATTATAGCATCTATTACATAGATACGGTTTCAGGCTAACTCTTTAGCATCTTGTTAGATTTTTTGTACAAAGTGTTGATGCCTGTGCAAAAGTAAGCTGTATGCTAACAGCAGCTACAACACTCTCCTTTGTTTTTATGTAATCTATGTATCTTCAGGGTAGCACTGCTGCAACGTCAGACTTACACCACAGAGACAGAGTTAATCTTTCA